TTCTAAACTAATGGTTTTTTCGTAAAAATACACCTATTCATTTTTATAGATAATGCTAGGATGCATCGATTGGTGTATGAAAAAATATATGATGCTATTTAAAAAAATAAAGGTGACCTTGATAATTTCTTTATGAGCCGATCCACGAAAAAATTGAAAGCACGAGAATATAGCCCTTTCGAAACCATTCATCTTTCATTCGAAACATTTTTTAATATCGTGAAGAATAAGCGAGATATTTAATAAAAAAGATTGGTATCGAAATCCCCTGATCGAAGTAAAATTTTTGTCCGAAAATGCGACTTTGTATTAGGAGAACATGATACGATAGGAGGTCGATCGAAAAATTTTTCCAAGAAATGACGTCGAATTCTCGGAATCTCTGAAATTCTTGGAAATGACGTCAAATTCTGAGAATTTCTGAATTTCTTGGAAATGACGTCAAATTCTTGGAAATTTCGAAATTCTTAAAATTTGTTAGCTTCCAACTAAAAATTTCGAGTTTTCATTAGGAGAGTATAATTCTAAAGGAGGTGGCACGCAAAATTTTTAGTAGAATTTATTAGTTTTGTAAAATTTTGGGTAAAATTTCGACGTTTTATTAGGAGAGTATAATTCCAGAGAAAGTAGGAGGTGAATTTTTTCTTATATTTTCAAAACCATATATTATAATGAATATCTATATACTTACCATTAAAATACTTACCTTTTGTAGCTGCCATAGTTTTTTTTTTTAACATTTTTTTCAACAGTTTTCTTAAATCTAGATACTTACCTTATATACTTACCTATAATTCATTGATATACCGGTATCTCACATTGATATATCTGAAATATCTCGCTTGTTTTTCATAATATTAAAAAAGATTTGAAATAAAAGTTAAATGGTTTCAATTGGATTACATTTTCTGCAAAAAATTATTAGATCATACGTATCAAAAAAATATTAATTCAGAAAATAATTAAATATAATTAAATATTTTCTAAATTAATAACTTCTGGCTATAAATATAAAAATCATATTATGCCTCCCTCGAAACCATTCCATCTTTATTTGAAACTTTATTTTTTAATATATCTAAAAGCAAGCGATATTTCAGGTAATATTTTTACATGGGATATCCGGTATAGAATGCCGGTTACGTGGAATAATTTTCTATTCTATTAAACACATGATTTTCATAATTCTTTCTCTAGATCTTACGTGGCAAAACGTACAGAATGCCAAAGAGAATGTGATCGTTTCGAAGAAAGTTTTTTCCAAGAATGTTACGTGATATGGAAAGGATTATACCGGTTGAACGTGATGAGAAAATCACATTTATCTTTTATCAGAAAATGGGATATTTTTTTCTTTAGAAATGGAATCTTCGTAGAAATATCAATTAAACCTTTGAATAAAAATAAATTCTACGTCAAGTCGTATTATTAAATTTTTTTATTATGAAAATTTTTCCTTCTTACAACGAATTATTTAAACGAAAAAAAAAAAAAGAAAAAAAAATAACAATATTCTATACATTTCCTTTAACAAGTTTTTCTTCGCAAAACTTTTCAATTTTCTTTTAAATTAAAAACGAAAGATTTTTATTTTACAAATTAAAACGAAATGAAAAAATTGGAAAAAGCGTTGTCCAAGATGATAAAACGACTCGTCTCGAGTTACCAATTAACGCGTCTACGTGTTTTCAAGATATATTTCCAATCTACCGTCGCGGAACGTAATAGATAAGATGCAAAGAAAAAAAAAAAAGAAATTTCAACAAAGAATTCCGCCTCCCAATACGAGAGAAGAAATTCTATTCTAGCAGTCTACTTTTCTCGAAACGTCTCGCGTTTTACTCGATCAGAGAGAAGCTAGTTACCTTTACGCAAGTTTCGACAATAGTTAGAAAGGGAAAGAAAAACAAAGAAATGTTACCAAGTTGCTCGCATCCTACGTTTGCTCATCATTTACGTTGTATCTCGATATTTTTCGTTCTTCCCCTATTTGATTTATGTTGACTCTAAAAATCGCTTCTCCTTATTTCCAATCTCTTCCTCCAATTTGCCAGAAATAATTTGACAGTCTTCCTGGATGTATTTGACTTTCGTTGAAAATATATGAAAGATACAAAAATAATAATAAGTACATATATAAATTTTTATTCCGTTCAGTTTAACAATAACAATATTCTTTTATACTCGAACATTAATCAAATTACACACTCGTAAAATAAACATGGAATACTTTGAATATCCATTTATTCGAAAATTATTTTTCAATTTCCAAAATGATTCTTTAAATTTCGAAAAAGAATTTCGAATATTCAACAATTGTTGAAAGATGTAAAAGTGTTTTCATCAATGTTCGAGTATATAAATATCGATAGATTCATTGTTAAATAACTTACGATTGGAAACAGCGTGAAAAATGATTCACGAATAAATACCGATATCTCGCTCCACGTTCCCCTTAGTTTCGATCACCCACACCGACATTACTCTTATGCCCCTCTACGTGGCACTGCACACCGTCTACATTGAAATAAGCAAACAGTCTCCCAATGGGAGACTGCCGGAGAGAATAACTGGTTGCAGTCTGTCGGCCGTTTTGTCGAATATATCGGTAACGTACGGTGAGCCGGTTATTGCGCAATAAATATCGCCTCTCTCGACCAAAGTGGCGAAAAAAATTGATTGGCAATTTTCACGTCGATAGGAGGTCGATCGAAAAATTTTTCCAAGAAATGACGTCGAATTCTCGGAATCTCTGAAATTCTTGGAAATGACGTCAAATTCTGAGAATTTCTGAATTTCTTGGAAATGACGTCAAATTCTTGGAAATTTCGAAATTCTTAAAATTTGTTAGCTTCCAACTAAAAATTTCGAGTTTTCATTAGGAGAGTATAATTCTAAAGGAGGTGGCACGCAAAATTTTTAGTAGAATTTATTAGTTTTGTAAAATTTTGGGTAAAATTTCGACGTTTTATTAGGAGAGTATAATTCCAGAGAAAGTAGGAGGTGAATTTTTTCTTATATTTTCAAAACCATATATTATAATGAATATCTATATACTTACCATTAAAATACTTACCTTTTGTAGCTGCCATAGTTTTTTTTTTTAACATTTTTTTCAACAGTTTTCTTAAATCTAGATACTTACCTTATATACTTACCTATAATTCATTGATATACCGGTATCTCACATTGATATATCTGAAATATCTCGCTTGTTTTTCATAATATTAAAAAAGATTTGAAATAAAAGTTAAATGGTTTCAATTGGATTACATTTTCTGCAAAAAATTATTAGATCATACGTATCAAAAAAATATTAATTCAGAAAATAATTAAATATAATTAAATATTTTCTAAATTAATAACTTCTGGCTATAAATATAAAAATCATATTATGCCTCCCTCGAAACCATTCCATCTTTATTTGAAACTTTATTTTTTAATATATCTAAAAGCAAGCGATATTTCAGGTAATATTTTTACATGGGATATCCGGTATAGAATGCCGGTTACGTGGAATAATTTTCTATTCTATTAAACACATGATTTTCATAATTCTTTCTCTAGATCTTACGTGGCAAAACGTACAGAATGCCAAAGAGAATGTGATCGTTTCGAAGAAAGTTTTTTCCAAGAATGTTACGTGATATGGAAAGGATTATACCGGTTGAACGTGATGAGAAAATCACATTTATCTTTTATCAGAAAATGGGATATTTTTTTCTTTAGAAATGGAATCTTCGTAGAAATATCAATTAAACCTTTGAATAAAAATAAATTCTACGTCAAGTCGTATTATTAAATTTTTTTATTATGAAAATTTTTCCTTCTTACAACGAATTATTTAAACGAAAAAAAAAAAAGAAAAAAAAATAACAATATTCTATACATTTCCTTTAACAAGTTTTTCTTCGCAAAACTTTTCAATTTTCTTTTAAATTAAAAACGAAAGATTTTTATTTTACAATTAAAACGAAATGAAAAAATTGGAAAAAGCGTTGTCCAAGATGATAAAACGACTCGTCTCGAGTTACCAATTAACGCGTCTACGTGTTTTCAAGATATATTTCCAATCTACCGTCGCGGAACGTAATAGATAAGATGCAAAGAAAAAAAAAAAGAAATTTCAACAAAGAATTCCGCCTCCCAATACGAGAGAAGAAATTCTATTCTAGCAGTCTACTTTTCTCGAAACGTCTCGCGTTTTACTCGATCAGAGAGAAGCTAGTTACCTTTACGCAAGTTTCGACAATAGTTAGAAAGGGAAGAAAAACAAAGAAATGTTACCAAGTTGCTCGCATCCTACGTTTGCTCATCATTTACGTTGTATCTCGATATTTTTCGTTCTTCCCCTATTTGATTTATGTTGACTCTAAAAATCGCTTCTCCTTATTTCCAATCTCTTCCTCCAATTTGCCAGAAATAATTTGACAGTCTTCCTGGATGTATTTGACTTTCGTTGAAAATATATGAAAGATACAAAAATAATAATAAGTACATATATAAATTTTTATTCCGTTCAGTTTAACAATAACAATATTCTTTTATACTCGAACATTAATCAAATTACACACTCGTAAAATAAACATGGAATACTTTGAATATCCATTTATTCGAAAATTATTTTTCAATTTCCAAAATGATTCTTTAAATTTCGAAAAAGAATTTCGAATATTCAACAATTGTTGAAAGATGTAAAAGTGTTTTCATCAATGTTCGAGTATATAAATATCGATAGATTCATTGTTAAATAACTTACGATTGGAAACAGCGTGAAAAATGATTCACGAATAAATACCGATATCTCGCTCCACGTTCCCCTTAGTTTCGATCACCCACACCGACATTACTCTTATGCCCCTCTACGTGGCACTGCACACCGTCTACATTGAAATAAGCAAACAGTCTCCCAATGGGAGACTGCCGGAGAGAATAACTGGTTGCAGTCTGTCGGCCGTTTTGTCGAATATATCGGTAACGTACGGTGAGCCGGTTATTGCGCAATAAATATCGCCTCTCTCGACCAAAGTGGCGAAAAAAATTGATTGGCAATTTTCACGTCGACGCTTGATTTTAACGATATGATTCTTTGCACACTTGTAGATTCGAAATTAGGATTGAAAATTAATCTTTAGATCGGAATGAATCGATACATAAAAAGGAAACTTTTCACACAGCACTCAACTGCGTTAGAATTATTCGCAGAATAGTACGCACCATGTATCTGAATATAAACGATGAATCCTTCCCCCTCTTGTTCCACTTCATTTCAATGTTTCAATCAAAATATTCGATCAAACCGTTCGATCAACGTTTGACTAGTAAAACGTAATGAAAACGAATTTGTTCTGCTCGCAGTGATAGTTCAAAAGTTGCAAAATGAAACACTCCGTAACTATCGACACAGCAATTTTTTTCCCACGAGTCTCGTTTCTATTTCGAAAGGAATCTCGTAGGCGGAGAGCTCATCAACGTGAATAAACACGTGTATAATTGAGAATCCATGTGGAAATTAAAAAAAATTGATATCTCGAAAACAGATATACATCTTCTCCACGTTTCTACGATCTAGAAAATATATATCCGGAATATGTATAAAATTTTACATTGAAATTATACGAAATTACACAAACCGTACACTTAGTTCGAGTAAATTTAAATATGCAAAAATATACAAAACGTCGAAAGTTAACCAAAATAATTAAGTAAATCCCTTTATTCAGATTTCGCTGTACAATTAAATTAGAATTTCAAACATCTAATCACCGTTTCGACCCCATCGTCGAAAAGAACGAAAGCTCGTCCCCTTCATCCTATTCTATTTCCAAATTTCCCCCGTTATTGTAGCACCTGCACGGACAACATCCCGGTATAGCTCAAGATGACTACGTCCCGAAATGAGGTTTCCATCAGTTAGTTTGCAAATTTGGAAAAGTTACTTCCGGCCGAGTTTCCGGAAGGGCCTCGCTCAAACTCGCATTAGCGCGATCAGGAGAAGAGTAAACTTTTCCAACAGGATTTGCTCCCTTATCTTCGAACCTGGCACGGTTCGAAGGCATTCCAGGATGAAAGACGTTTCTTCGTCTCTCGCTTTTCCTTCCGGAAAAACGAGCACGTGTATGGCTTCGTTCTTGCCACTGTCTTCGATCGTTCCCTTACGATCTTTATCCTCGATATTCTCTGGGACGAGCCCAATCTTTCTCCTTCCTTCCTTTCCTTGCATTACAGAAAGATCGCCTTTGAATTGGAATTCGTTGCTTGTTTCGTGGCTCTTGAGAGGCGATCGAATAATTGGGAAGAAAGAATTTTCGCGGGCTAACATGTTGGGAGACTTTTATTTGGAAGTTCGAAGAGACGGTTTTTCTTGTCTTTTTCTTATTATTTTTTTTTTTCACTTTTTAATTAACGAGGTCGGTTTTAAGAAAGAGGAAGTTGATATTTCGGCGAGCCAAAAATGTTTGAAAAACATCAAAGACCATAATTAAAACGTTTCGTCAATGCAACGTTGATTAAAGCTTCGAAGAGACGAAAACTTGGTTTTTTCGCCAAAGAAGAAAATCCTCGTTCGTTTTACCCCCTTCGAATAAACAAATATTCAGTGGCCACGAAAACGCACGCGCAATATATTCGTACGATCTTATATCAAAGTGAAAGGTGAAACTAAAATGGTGACGATTAAAAGCGAAGGAGCAACGTTGCGCTTAATTTGGACTTACGTTCAAAGAAGACGACATTCTCTGCGATACGTTTGATATATTATACACGTAATTAACGTATTGTCTTGGTCGAGGATTGAGAAAATTACGATTACGAAACTAATTGACGAAAGGATATTGAAACGTGGCTCGATTAACAGAGATCGATTAACAATATCCTTTCTCGAACGTTCTATATACACATACTGAACACAATAGAACAAAATGCATTAATTTTATTCGTTTCGATTCGATCATCTCTTCTCAAGAGGAATAGAGGAGGAGGGGGAGAAGAAGAAGGAGAAGAAGAAGCAGAGGCGGTTAACTCGAATTCCTGTGGGATCATAAATCTGGACAGTCAAACACGTGTCGATGAATAAAATATGATCTTCGAGTGTTTGAATCTGTCAAGCAGACACTTTGTCGAATGAACTCCTCCCGAGAATCTTGAAAAGTATTTTATTTTATTTTACTTTTCTTTTCCTTTAATATTTCTCGCAATACGAATTTTTCTAATAAATTATTACGCAAAGAAGGAAACGATGACTTTCTTTTTTACGAATAAAGGAATAAAGATATTAAATTTTATATTAATAATATAATATTATATTTAAAATTTAACGTAACGGATATTGCAATATTTTGAATAGTTAACAAAAGGTGAAGTTTCCGAGTTTACACTGGCGAAAATACGATATGCACATGATATTTTATTCCAGAATCTGCGCGTTCGATACGCGAATGTCGTGTAGGAAGCTTTTTCCAATAAATCATGAAGCCAGCAGTGTTTCGATGGCCGAATAAACCTTGGATTTGTACTGCGTTTCACGAACAAATTTTTACCTTCCTCCCGGCTATTCGAAGAAGCTTTGAAAAGGAGGATAATTAACTTTACAGAGACGAGGATATCGATGATAATTAAAACGAATATGATTTTTAAAAATATCGTGTTCGCTCGAATCATACTCGTTTTAATGTCTTCGAACTGGCTATTGCAACCATTTTATTCGTTTAATCGCTCATTATCGTTTAATTAAAGATTTTCTATTGTTTCTCATTTCAACTGTAATTTTTATAAAAAAAAAAAAAAACAATCGTAAATCACCTTTTGAATGATGAATGAGATTTTTTCAAACTTGTGATCGATATTTAAAGAATAGCACGATTCTTATCTGATCTCGTAGATATAATAAATAATAAATCTAAAGATAATGCGTTTATACGAATTAATTCACTTAACGAATACAAAGTATGGAGAGTTTAAGAATCAATGTTTGATCGACTTATATATAAAAATAAAATACCTTTATTCTTCAAATTTTCAATTGACAAATTAATTAAATTGCAATACTGAACAATTGAAGTGGTTACTTGATTGATTTGTCGATCGAAAGTTCGAAGAAATAGAGAAATTTTTTAATCCTATATATATATTATCTTTGAATACTTGATCAACGCTATTTCCAATTGCTCATATCGAATAAAACACTGGAATATGAACACCCATTACCGAGTTTTCCACGACAGAGAATCTTCACGCGATATCAAGTTTAAGCGCGAATCGAAGTGGAGAATTATTGCTGACCTGTCGATCGTGCAACTACGCTCGATATCCCAATAAAACCTACTCTTTTCCACAGTTTCCACGATATTGTTTACCCCTGACCTTTTCCGCTGCCTTTCACATCGAAAATCTCTCGATTTCCACATCGTTTCGTTCGCTCCAAAACGACGCACCTCTACTCTCGAAGCCTTCCAAATTTTTTGATAAATTTGAATAATTTGAAGGCGACGCGAGATCGAGGAAAATTGGAAATCGTCGAAAACTACGATTCAATTTTATATCGTTAAGATAGAAATTCGTATCGCAACGCGCTTCATAAGTTTTTACTTAGAGCCGTGAAGGATGTTTGAAAATGGTGGATGTAAAATTGTGGGTCGCAGAGACATTTTCACGAAAGAGAATTCTTCTCAACGGCGAAGACAAACGAGCGTTTCGACTTCCAGTCTTCGAGATATTTGCGAGTTCACGTGGAACGTGTACAAGAATCACGCGTGGTGAAGCATCGCTCTTCCCATGCATCCTTGGACGTCGATGCTCCGTGCAACAATTTATTACACGAGGTTTCCATCCTGAAGAGAATGGATGGTTGAGGCGATGGTTTGCCAAATTATGACACGTATCGCTAGTAATAATCTATTCGAAAATGGAATGAAAAATATAGGAAATGCTAAGAATAAGAGAGTATAAGATATAAGAACGATTAAACGAACGAGAATGGATGTTCAAGCAAGATTGGCGATTCCGAGAATATGCGGGAAATGCGTGGAATCACGAGAGATACGAGAATGTGACGTGTGTTTCGTGAATTTTTGAGAAGAAAGAGAGTGGTAACTTTAAAATTTCATAACGTTAGAACCATAATTGCGTGTTTAATAATTTCTCCGTGTTTCAATATTCTTTGTAATATTCTTTTCGTAAATAAAAATTCTACGCCAAGGCGTAGAAAGATTTATAATTTTTTCACAAACAAATTCGAAAATTAGAGGATACGTAGAATATCTGAATTCGTATAACCACATCTCCAAATATCGAATACAAAAGTGATTGATTTGACATGGAATGATTCGATCACGTCATTAACCCTTTCAATCCGTATTGGTTTTTAAGCCATATATCAATATTGACGGAGTGTTTAAAGGGGCGAGGCAAGCTCGTAACCTAAATTCGTTTTAAAAGCTTGTGAACAAATAATAAAAAAAATAGCCTTCAAAGGATTGGAAAGCTCTGGGTACGGAGCTCTGAACGTTAAACCATCTACACCAATTTTCACCTCCATCGATCTTCACGGGATAATATTGGGAACCAATTTCGTCCCTGGATTTTTCCTTTTTTTTTTTTTTTCATCATGTGCGCGTTAACAAAAATATAAATTCCGATTAATTTAAACATTTAATTTTCCAATTTAATTGCGAACACGCTGGAAAAAAAAAGGGTAACAGTAATGGAGTTCTTTCGTTTGAAAAAATATTTCATCGCAAGACTATTATTAACAGAAACTTTTAATCGGTTCTCGAAATTAATCGGATTCGATAAATTCCTTTGAGAATCGGATTCAAGCGATTTCTCTGCAATTTTTATTTTTATTTATTTACTTTTTTTTTTTCAAAACTCTTCCTTACGAGATTCGAGCAAAAAGAGAAAAATTTTTACACTTTTAAAAAGTGTTATGTAACTAAACAGGCGTGAGTTACAAAGGGGCGTGTATGACAGAAAATGTCGGGTATGCCAGGTGAGTGCATTCGCAAAGACTAGTTA